ATTGACTGGTGGTCCTTCAGAGATGGTAGGAGCAACTCATGATACAATGTTCATCTCAATTCCATACTGTGCTAGTTGCTAGTGTGATGAAACAAATGTTCAGTAACAGGAATGTTATAGGCTCCTGTGTTAATCCCAAGTTTCATAGACAGTAGCATCAAGTCACCAGACAGTGAATGACTGTATGTATTCTGACACTTTGAGCAATGGTCAGAAGAGGTACTAAGAATGAGGATTAGAAAAATTGTAACCAATGTTTGTTATAACTTGTTAAACTGTTGTCTTCAGGCAGACATTTTGGATGTCAATCAGATATTTAAGGATTTAGCCATGATGATTCATGACCAGGGAGATATGATTGGTAAGTGTGTTTGTGTAACAGGAAGTTTCTTCTTAGTTCAATTACATGTTTTGCCCGCATAGATTAAATTTTCCAGTATTTTGTATAAAAAGTATTGTATTTCTGATTTTTTTTAACCACTGAAGCTCTGAAATATTTTACAATGAGTTCTCTTATTTTTCCATAGATAGCATAGAGGCAAATGTGGAAAGTGCAGAAGTCCATGTGGAAAGAGCCAGTGAGCAGTTACAGAGAGCTGCCTATTATCAGGTAAATTCTGTATGCTTGCATTATTGTCAACATACAGTTGAGCAATAATGGAACAGGCATAACAAGACACATACGGAGGACTGTAGCACACCAAACAAGTTATTAAAAACAGCTTGTGCAAGCTGACACTCACTCAGAATTGTGCTGCAAAGAGTAGATAAAGCACTTGAGTCAAAAACACAGTATTGAAATTAGCCTTCTACTTCAGAGGATATAGAGTCAGTCTGTTTTTTCACATAGGTGTGCTCAGCAAGTTTAAGTGTTTAGCTGTCTTTGCTGTTCTCAGGAGTTAGCAGAACAGTTAAACAAGAACAAATTCTCATGTTTTATCTGTCTTGTAAACGTATTAGCCAAGACACTGAAGTGAGAAAATCCTTGCCCAGACTTGGGAAACTGCTGCAAATCCCATCACCAGAACCCTTCTAACTGCTGAGTTTCTATCCTGTAGTCTGTCCTCCTCCTCCCATCAAATCTCTTGCAGTGGTTCTCACTGCTGCTTAAATCTCCTTTGTGTATCATATTCAATGTTTTCTGTAGGTTCCTTTCATCATTATTGTCCCTGTAGGTCCAGGTTCTGTGAAGGAATAAGGGTTCTGCTTCAGTCAGTCCTATACAGAGTTTTGCTGCTGGGACTTCAGGCTTCCACAGAAGATAACAGCTTGAAAGAGTCCAATTTTTTAAGTTGGGAGGTACTAGAAGGCAATAAAACTCCAGTGCTATTTAGCACAAGGGAGGGAAAGTAGCTTTTACCATCTGGCAGTATTTAGTAGTATTCTCTCTCTCTCCATGGTTTCCTTTACAAAGTTTTGACATCTAAGTTTGGGAGCTATTGGACATGTATTGCATGTGTTTTTCTAGATGGAGAAGGAAGTGGTTATATATAACTGTCCTCAAATCTTTAGATACCAAGTTAAAAATATTTGGTGTATATGGACAGACTTTAGTTTCCTGTGATGAATAAAGTGATCAAAGCTGTAAAATCCAAGTACAGTAAATACTTATTAAATCATTTAAACTGTAGAAATGAAGTGCTATTTCCAAACCAAACCCAAGTGGCCAAGGGGAGATTGTATTGGAGAACTGCTTAGCAGTTTTATTAGTCTTACCTGGAAAATCTAAATAGCTAGAGATGTTTGGCTTTCCTTTGAAGCCATGGTGTTGTCAGTTAGGATGAAAAGCATGTGGTAGGTGTTGTCAAGTTCTCCTTTTGCAGCCAACTTGAAGTAAAGCTTGCATTTTCCTTAAGAGAAGCAAAACTTGTCATATTTTGACTGAACTGCATCTCTTAGACCACTGTGCTCCTAAAACTAAAAACATTTATCTGTAGGATCATGCCGTTTAAGGAACATGTAGAAGTGTTCAGACTACACTGGCTACTTCTCTTGAATAAGTATGAATATCAAGTGCTCTAGTTTGCCAAAGTTAATGTTGCTAACTGGTAGACTTGCTTTTTCTTCTTGTCATCTGTTCCTCGTGTCAGTGGCTTTTTTTTTTTCTTCTTTTATTAGAAGAAATCCCGTAAGAAGATCTGTATCCTGACTCTTGGTCTTGCTGTGGCTTCTATAATCATAGGCTTCATTATCTGGCAGACAGCAAAATGAAATCTTCACATGGAACCTAGTCTCATTGCTGAGATTTTTTTCCCTCAGAGCGAACAGGCTGACTAGTCTTGGAAATGAATTGACCATCCTGAGAGAGCACAAGCTGGAACTACTTCTAGTAATAGATATTAGCAACTAATGTGCAGATAACTAGTATTTGGAATTAGTGAAACATGGAGACAGTATTTATCAGTTTATATTTTTATGTAACTAAAATCTTGTGATTTTGCTTTCTGTAATGTATTTATTCCCTGTCCCAACTGTATGCTGAAGTGTGATCAATAATTGGAGATGTCTTGTTTTTGACAAGTGGCACAACTTTAACATTTTATATGTATAAGTAACTTTGTTGCAGTGGAATGAGAATGACATTCAAAGAGGGCACAACACCAATTCACATTACCTTAATGCAGCAGTTTCTAAAGTCTCCAGTATCTGCCCCATGGTTTTATTAGTCTCCAAGTGGCTGTGGTTCTAGATTCTCTTGAAGAGAAGGATGATGTTACAGATTTGAAAGGCAAGGAGAAGTATGTATGGATGATAGTTGGAACCACCGCTTGCTGCTCAGTTTAGCCTTGAGACTCGTGACTGTGTAGTTTAATTTTCTGAGAATGGTTGGGGTGGTTTTTTTCCAAAATGCATCACCTGAGGACAGGATGTTCTTTGACTTACAATCTAACAATGCAACTTCCTTAGAGAAACTAGCTGGTGGTTTATTATTGGACAAATATCTTCCAATGCTGACTCTCAAGCACTAGAAATACAATGTTTAGCTGCTTGCTCCTAATTGTTTTTAGAAGCTTCCAGGGAGAAAATCACACAAAGATGAGGAATTGGGCACCTAAGTTTACAAGCTAGCAAGATAGATGAGTATTAGCAGAAATCTTGCTTCTGAAGTAGTACTCCTAAAGCTCACTTGTAGTGTACCAGTAAATATTATGTGTGGCTTGTGAACATCTGGTATTTTCTATACTTTATGAAACAAAGTGTAGAAACAGAGTGAGTCAAGTGCTAGGTTTTTCAGACTGAGGATGTGCATGCAAATTAAAAAGATTGCTGGTTCCAACTGTCTTGCTAGTAGAGTTGGACAGAATGTAGCAGCCGCTCCCTGCTTTGATGTAGCTCTGAACTGAAATGCACTGAGGGAACAGTGATCTGTCCAAAGCCCAACGGAGTGTGGTAAATGCAGCATACTGACCCATTTTGCATTTAATCCTTATTCCATGTCTCCTGTATAATAAAGTAAATGTGAAAGCTGGGAAGGGAGGGTGTTCTCCCAGTTGCACAGTGGTTTGCACTATTGCGCCATCATTCCATCTAATAACTATCAATAAACACTTTTAAAAGCCTATGTCAGAACTTCTTTCTCTTGCAGTTTAGACATTGGCATAGGTATGTTTGCAGTTCCCTCTGTAAGCAGGGTAGAAGACTTTGTATCAGCAACAGCAGTGTTTCCTCCAGCTTTAGTTCTACGGTCTCTGATTAAGAATGAAACTAACTGGAAACACTGAATTACTTTCACGTGGATATACACAAAAGTCCTCTGCAGAGCCCTGTACAATAGCTGATCACAGAAAAATTAATCTGATGCCTCAGAACAGTGTTGGGTCAGCTTTGACTATATGCCTGTTTCTGGAACTTGAAGCCTTTGCTGAGCCTGTAAAATCTGACTTGAAAGCAAGGGAACTGTGTGTTGTTCTGCTCCTTATTTAAAATATTCCTCCTGAATGGTAGAGCCTGCTGCTTTGTGCACTGCCTGCTGCAGGGGGAGAGTCCTTTGGATGTCATGCCTCCATCTGAAAATGAAAGCGCTTACCTCCTTGCCATGCTTAAAAGGGAGCCTGGGTGCATTATTTGTAGGATAATAGCCTGTTTTAGTGCTCTGGAAACTGGAATTGAGGACACCAGTCCAGGTTGCTGATCTCAGGACTGCTGTAATTTCTTGACTCCTTTCTCCTCTTTCTTTACATCATTGAACTTAGCAGTGGAACTGCTGCAGCAACTATTTTTAACGGCAGTCTTGACTAATGTTCCTTAGTATGAAAAATCACCATCAGAAACTCTAATTGCTGTTGCTGCAGCACTCTGGCACTAAGCATTCCTGGCTCTCAGATGTGTTTTTTACTGCTCTGAGAGTTGCTGGAAATTTATTCTGGGAAGTCTGGCGCTCGCCATGAGAGCCAGCGAAGGGATAAGCTTGTCGTGGTAGCTATCCCTGCCCTGCTCAGGGGTGCGAGGGCCTCTGAGCAACAGCTCTTAGGGGAGCTGTGGCTCACTGGGATGATTCTGGCAAAATGTGGTTTTTCCCTCACAGGAGCTCGGGTACCTGTACGTGTAACAAAGCGCAGGACCTCTGTTACCCGCCATCTGACTGCTTTTCTGTCTGCTGTTCAGTGGAAAGTTGAGGCGCTGAAACACGTGCTAAAAGAGGGTTTTGAAAACCTGCTACACGAGGGCTCGATCCGGGCTATTCCCCGGTGTTCGACTTCTCCCCGGCCCCCCGCCCCCGTCACCCCCTTCCTCCTCCCGCAGCGGCGAGGGGGGCGGCCGCCAGCTGCGACCGAGAAGGCGCGTCGGTGGACGGGGCCGGCAGGCACCGAGAGGCAGCGACGGGAGCCGGCGCGGCTCCCCGAGGGCCGGGACCTGCCTCCGAGCCGCCACCGGGCCGCTGTGCCCAGCCCCGGGCGGCGGAGCCCCGCCCCGCCAGCGCTGCGCGGGGCACGCTGGGATCGCCTCCCGCGCCGGTCCTCCAGCTTCCCATCCTGCCCTCGGCCCGCCTGAATGGGGCAGATGCAAGATGGCGGCGAACGCGACCGCCGCCGGTGGCGGCGGCCTCTCGCTCTTCGAGTGCCCTAGCTGGTGAGCGGGCGGGCGGGCCGGGGCCGCGGTCGCTCCGCCGGGCCGCTCGCTT